ATATGCGGCGATTTTAATAGCTGGAATACCATATGGGACTCTACAGTAAACAACACCTGTGATACTGTTTTAGAAAAGGCCTTCATTCAAAGCAATTTCTGCATTTTAAATGCTGGAAAACCAAAGCACTTTTCAACTCATCACACCTTTTCACATATTGATTTAACATGTTGCTCTCCCTCACTTCTTCTTTTGGTTTCCTGGTCTATTTCTGATGATCTGCATAATACTGATTACTTTCCAATCATAATTGATCTCAAACTTTCAATGTCCTCTTTTACTCCATCAAAATAGGCCAAATTCCTCCTAGATAAAGCGGATTGGATCAGTTATTCCAATCACGCCAAGTCATTTCTGAATTCAAAGCCATTTAACGGGAACTGCAACCATGACGCTGCTATTATGCCTAAAGCGATTCGCACATCTGCTTATTCTCTACTCCTCAGTCCAACAGCTCTTTTAAACGAGCTAGGCTTCCTTGGTGGAACAACACGTTTTCGTTATTGAGGAAAAACAAAATGGATCTATTGCACCGCTTTAAAAGGTTTCCTGACCATGATCATTTGCTATTATATAAAAAGGCCAATGCTCTATTCATGAAGGCATTACGAAAATCAAAGGCACTTAGTTTCGAACTTTTTTCGAAAAGAATTCACGGAAATACTTCAATAAAAGTTGTCTGGAACAAACTCAACAACAGACTGAATTAGACTTCAAATCTGAACGAAATTTCTTCTATTTGCAATCCCAATGGAACTTTAACTGACAGATGAGATTTCTAATTACTTTGGACAAATGTAGTGCGAATACTCCTCTGACAGCAACTTTTTCAAACCTTTTGTCAAAAATAAAAGGACTACAATTTCTCTTTCAAATGCTATTGACAGATGTGCCGTGTCCCTGCAAAATTGCATATCTACCATAGAATTTGAAAGTTGTCTCTCCAAATCAAAGGGGGGATACCTGGTCTAGACCGAATCTCATACCAAATGATCAGTGCTCTGTCTAATTGAGGTAAAACGGAATTACTGGACCTATATAATAAGGCATCTTTGACTGGCCGTATACTCTGCATGTGGAAACTGGCTGCAGTTGTTCCAATTGCAAAGTCAAAAAATGTGTCCATCGCATCGGATTATCGCCCACTCTCTCTTTTATCTTGCCTCTCAAAAGTATTAGAAAAGATTATGGGATCTATATTATCTTCGTGTCTTGAGTCGAAGAACCTGATTATAAAGCAACATATTGGTTTCAAAGAGAGTAGAGGGTGCATCGACGATCTTTCACATATTGATTATTTTACAAGCAAACCAATTTCCGAACGGAATCAAATAACAACTCTCTCAATTGATTTCGAAAAAGCATTTGACAGAGTTGGTCTTCGTGCTATTTTAACACTCTTGGAATCATGGAATGTTGGATCCAAATTTTTCAATTACATCAAATCATTCATGTCGCATCGGCGGTTCAAAGTTAGAATCAACAATCATCTCTCTGATTCCTTTCCACTAATGAAAGGCATTCCGCAAGGATCTCCTCTCTCTGTCACGCTTTTCCAGATCGCCTTCAACGAAATTAGCAACATTCTTTGCCGTGTACCAAGAGTGGAACACTGTCTCTATGTGGACGATGTATATGTATATACATTATTACAAAAGAAAAAGATAGCACGAAGGCATGGACAAACTCGTCAGGGGCTAAAAGTACCGGTGCTAAACGAGCAGACGCTCCATATTCCCGGGTTCACTTTTTCACTTTTTGGAAAACACTGTCTTCGGTTAAAAAGTCTATTTTAACAAGAGTGAATTTCACGGAGTACGTTGCTTGAAAAAGCCATGCGCACATTAACACTATTGCATGTTTTCCCAAAATGTTGGTTTACGCAAGATTGACTATGCTTTGATAATACATCGCAACAGTTTCAAATGTAATATCAACATCCTTAAACCGATCTATCACGAAGCCCTCAGAGCAAGTTGCTATGGTTTTTGAACTACGCCCATAAATAATATTATGTTTGAAACTGGTCTCCCAGCTTTAGAAAATAGACTTTATGAGTTAAAAGCTAAAATAGTCCAAAAGCTTCTTAACTCAAGCAAATCTATTCTCGGTGAAGACGTGGGAAAGATTATTATTGCCAAGAGAATTGGAAAGTCACCATCTGAAATTGACTATTATTTATACGTCACAACAGGGATCTTACTCCATTCTTTTTGTAGTCTATTTTTCACATCTTGCACGTCTCAGATTGAGTATTTTCGCACACGGCGGTCAAATTCATCCAACATGTGATTGGGCAATAATGAAGCACTTTGATTCTTAAATTAAACGAAACTTATGCCTGAGGTCGCTATCTTGTCAGAATTTAAATGTTTTCTTAATGCCAAATTTGTCCACATTTTCTTTCAAATTTTCCTTGAATGTCTTTTAATGACCCTCTACGTAAATAATGCCATCTATAGACACCAATTTTCCGTCTCCACTGGTACAAGAACGTAATAGGAAGCTATAGGCAATTTCTAGTCTTAGCTTCAAAAAAAAACTGTGTATGAACCCCATTTCCTAAGAACAAAATCATCATTTCCGGTCTATGAATATAGGTTGTCAGTTTATTCTAATAACATTCAGGTGACTCGACACGTGCACAGTTCACGAAATAATTAATCTCCATTAATATTACACGGCGCACTAGCCAAAAACAAAATAACTCGAAATACCGATTGCATGACGATCATACGATTGTCTATCCAATAACAATAAAATCTACCATTCATAAACAAATCGTTCATTACTTGACGATCCTGTGGACGACGTTCCCGTGTAGATCCTATCGGGCATCGCTATAGTCCTTTTACATCAAAGAAGATCTTGCAAAGTAATCCTACTCAACACATCGTGCACACTACAACCGACTATCCAAAATATCAAACAAGGTGCAGCCAACCAGGTTGACATTCAAAATGCGAATACTATATATATATTTGCACCGAATATTGTACACATATTGATAAAATCGATCTCGACCACATCTTCATATATACAAAATAATTCCTACAGAGCAACGCACCGTCTATCTAGAACTAGAACCAATCTACACCATCATCCCCCCCCTAGACGCTCAACCACTCTTCTTTGATGCAGACGGTAACACTTCTGACCTGCAAAATATGCTAAACAAAGTCAGATACAGAGACTTTGGCAGCCATCGATAACCCACTATCATCAAAATAAAAATTCAAATCTTATAAACATTCTTATATATTTTATAAAATAAATCTTAAAAGTGTCTATATTAAAAATAAGAATATTTTAAAGAATTGAGGAATAAAGGTATCAAAATATGAATATATTGAATAATTAAAAAAAATATGTGGACGTTAAAATTTGAAGTTATGGAAGAGCAGAAGAATATGAACATTAAATTAGAGGATACATAAATATGAAAACGTGGAAGAAAATAAATTTTAAAATTACTAATAGGAAAATATAAATAAAAGAACTGAAGATATGAAGAAATGAATGAGAACGGAAACTACGAAACTATAAAACAAAATATGTAATAAAATGAATGTTAAAATTAGAGGGTACATGAAGTTGGAGGCATATGAATATAAAAATATGAGTTCAGAAAAATATAAACATTTTGAAGAAGCATTTGTAACATTGCGTGTTTGTAAATCCTCTTTTTCCAAACTTATCAGTCCTCATCATGGGCACCACTTTACCAACGTAAATCTATGGATGGTAATGATTTAACGACTACTTCATGACTTGTTCTTTTGATGATCTAGTTCGGAAGATGTGGAGAGAATTTTATATTTTCGTCAGACGTTTAAACCTAAACGAATAGCACATACTTACTCGTAAACGAACACTCAGATGAATGAAATCTAGCTTAACGAACGTGTATACACTAAGCCCTGGGCCTTTCTTCACCCTGCTTTGGCCCATGATGTTTATTGGTAAACCCAAATTTGGGTCCGAAGACCTCTAACGCTATCTTACAAAAATGATGAGTGCAACGGAATAAAATTAAATGAAAGACCTCATAAGATAATGGTCAATTGCCACTTCATACGATAACGGTTTGGCACCTGTGCCAAGGTTGAAAATAATGATGACGTTAAGTAGTGTTTTTTTTCCTATTTGAAATTTTTGTACAGTGTCGAGGCAACAAGATGACTATTCTTAAACATGTTTTTTGCTGTTTATATTTTCTGTTTGTAAGAAATGATTATGTACACCTGACAACAAAAAAAATAAAGTTCCAAACAGCCATACCGTGGAATTTTTTACTGAAATTCTTTAGTATACACATATTAGGCATAGATAAATGAAGTTATAACTAAATTTAATGTTTATTACACATTCTTAGTTATTTTACAAAGCAACTTTCTCGCCGCAGACATCACACTTCCGTTCAATATCTTTCGTAACTGTCATCTGTTTCCTCCGCTTCGTTATTAATTCTCAAATTCGTCTCTTTCTTGTAAATCAATTCACATATATTTTGTGTCCGATACTTTTTTTTTTTTGTATTTTTAATTTATCAATTGCTTGCCGTCCTTCATGGAAAGAAATTTATTTGTTATTATTATTATTATTAATTTAGCCAGAGAATAAATTCAAAGTCAAAAGTTTTAAAAGCACTAGCATCTTTTCGGCTTTATTAAAAAACTCTACCGTACTTGAGATTTGAACCCACGAACACCGAGTTGGTCGTCGAGACTTTTGCTTACTCGGCCACTCAGGCGGGTAGAAATTTATCTAATAATGCTTTATATTAATTTTATTTTGTTAAATTAGCAGATTTCTGGTATTCCACTTTCAAGAATCTTTTTCTTTGATAAAAGTTCAGCATTATTCTTTTTAATCCCTTTTCTTAAATTTTCTTTATTTTCACGCGATCCGACCTCCATCTTTTTCCTCTTTTTTTTCTTTCAAAAAAAATAAACAAACACAAAGTATGTATGGAAATGATCAACGTCAATCTCTTTTTCGGTGAGTGAACTCAACAATTCCAACAACGCGAGCTTGCCTTCTTAACGAAAATTCTGAAGTAAACCAAATGTTACAGATGTGGTCCAATATGCTAATATAAACTAAAGAGAAGAATTTAGCTAAAGAATAAATATTAGCTCTAATAAAACCACCAAATTCAACTAAGTTGTTCCCTATTTTAAATCTCTTAGAAAATTGTAGAAATACAAATACAATAAAGTCTACATAAAAATGTATCAAAAAATATTGGTGCGGAAATTCCAAATCCAGTTCATTCCAACTAATTGATTTTCCCAAATAATAAATTCCCTATAAAGGGAATAAATTCCCTAACTGCACATTCACGGCGCAGCATGCAGATGCCGGCACGGAACACGATTAGCGGAAAAACAGGCTAACGGATGGGAAATAAAGCCGTGAACTAAGGTAATAGTAATATGCTTGTAAATATGTATACAAATAGACTGTTTACGGAAGGCGAGTCAAGCGGATATAAACGAAAAAGAATAATAAAGTTGAGAAGTCGAGAGTATTGCCAAAGTAAAATGTAAATACCTACCAATCCTTAAACAAATTGATTTTAAATAAAAGTCTTGCAGTGAAAACGTGCAAGTGTGTTTCTCTTAAAATGAATATCCACCATACAGCGATACGAACCGTATCCCCGGAAAGCGAATTGCGTAACAATATTATGAATAAAACAAGAATTAAAACATATTATGAATAAACATAGAAATTATCATCTCTTAACCTAAAACAAAGTATTAATTTTAAACGCGTTCACTATATTTAAAATTATACATATTTACAGAAAGCTGTTTTTACTTGTTCCATGAACAATTTTTTATCTGAATGGTTAGGACTAAGGCTGTCCGCTTTTCTGCAGATTCATGAAATAAAAATTATTTCATTTGAACCTCAGGTAATTTGGGCCCTACTCGTGCCGGAATACAGTGCATGTGCCTTTGTGGTTAGCCATACATCTAAGAAAACATCAAAAATGTCGAATTGTGCAACCGGAGTGGGCGGATATAGAGTTGTTGGGAGAAATAAAGGAAGCCGCAAAAAAAACTGAGCAAATTTACAAAACAAACACAAATTTTTCTTTCTAAAGTTTTTTCTTATGAACTAGGTCCTTTACGAAAGTGCCTTATGAACATTACGTGATTGAAGCGCAATTAATAATAATTACTACTCCAGACGTTGTCGATATTTGAGAATCCAAGTTTCGCGCTTCAATTAATACTTTCATTAAGGCTTATGCAGGCTACTGTAAGTCAGCACATTCATCATAGTGCATCTCATTTTGGTTGTGGCCCGCTCAGCAATATATCACATTACGTTAGCTATACGAAATATGTTGTTGAACGAGCATAACAAATCAGCAATTATTTCACCCAAATTGTCAATTAAGCACTTTTTTAGTAGCAAAAACAACCAGGTAATTTTAAGTGAGATTAAAAACACCAAAAAATTGTAATTAAAGACTGTTCCATAAAAATAAAATCATTTATATTCTATCAAAAAAAATCGTCAGTGTTTTCGGCCAGGCGAGCGTCCTGTTTGTTCTAGCTAGGAAATACAGTTGACGACCAAGTAGGCAATAGCAGCTAAACGCCCGAGAGCGAAATAATGAATCACCACGGCGTACTGCCCAAAAAAGATAATTCTAAAAACCTATTGTATAGAGATCACACAATAACATATTTAAATTTTTCGTGAGGTCTGGCGTCCCTCAAAGCTGCCGTTTAGGACCCCTATTATTTAATTTAGCTCTCTTTAAGTAAAGCTAGGACTAGATTTTATCAAGGGGTGGTGCAAAGAGCTTAAGGATCCTTACTTTACAAAAAGGCTAGGCACGTGTTTGGTTAAACAAATCCTTAAGGATGCGTCGGCTCTGAAAGCTCCTTCCTGCAGGCGTTGTGTAGATTCAATTGAATGCCATCAAAAGCAATTCTTGCTGTTTGCCCTTAACAATTTCTATTGCGACCCGCGTGTTAAAGTATCTTTTGTTATCGTTACCGCTACTTGAGAAACGTAGACTTATGCTTGGTGTTTTCTTCCGGTTGTGGTTGCGCCTTTGTGCTAGTTGTGTACATGCTTTTTTGTTCTTATTTATTTATACATGAATTATTACTTAACTTTTTTTTCTTCACTTCTCCTTGTACACTTTAAACTAATTTTTGATAATAATTAGTATGAGATTTACATCTGAGTGGGTTTTAATTCACTGAATTTCATGTATAAGTAAATTAAAAAATACTCTAAATTAAAATTATTATTATCATGGGTATATGTAATCGATATCGCGGAAGGGTCAGTTGCCATAGATATTGGGAGATCGTCCTATATAAGCAAAAGTCAGCCCACATGTTTTAAGCATTTCTGATTTTGAGCGTTTTTTTTTTAACCTAAAGAGATGAGTGAACATGAACAAAAATAATAATCATAGTTTGAAAATCGAGATCCGATCCCTGTTAAAGTTTAAAAAGATCCGTTGCGGACCTTAAAACACAACAAGAAGTAATGCGCAATAACAATCTTTTTTTTTTTTTTTTTTGGTATGTTGAACAGAGATGGACTAAGCCAATAGATTTGTGGCTTATATGTCCAGGGGACCCAATAACAATCTAAACGTTAAGAAAAGGAGCTCCACCAGAAAATCAAACAACAAAAGAACAAAATTCGCCATTTTTAATTAATTGCCTCTTTAGCATATATTAATTGTTTTTTTGAGTTAACGGACTCCGTAGCCCTAATGTGAACAATTGAAAAATTGACAATGTTTGCATAATATGCTCGGATCGCATGTAAATTGAAATGAACGGCCAGACAGTGGTTTAGATTTATGATGTAGCTTTTGGAAAAATGCCACATTATTGGACCGCTGACATATAGTTAAGAAATGCTCACATATCCACCTGCATTTGCTAGCACTCTACTACTATGGGAGTTGTAAGAGGATTCTACGCTTAACCATGAAACACGTTGAAAGAAAGTTTTTGCTCTAGGGACTGACTATGTTTACAGACGTGCTTCAATATAAGAATTAATATTTGTGGACTAATATTTTATGAAATAATAAACCTCTATTTTTTATGATATTCTATGCCAGTAACTGGTGGTTAATTCAAGTATTGTGAAGCAAAAGCTGGCATATCATTTGGTAAATTAAACCAGAATTGGTCGCTCAAAGCTTTTCAACCATATATGTATTTTACGGAAAAATAATTATTGAAATGTGCCTCAGTTTTTCCACCGACTTATATATTTATTGCATAACAATTTTTTGTTATTGACAAATCCGCAACACAGCGCCGTTATTCGTAGCTACATTTCAAGTGTTTTTCACGATAGAATTCATTCTTTCCTGCTTAGGCTGGGCCTCCGCGGTTTATATATTCCATTTCATCATTCGTTATGGGGAGGCGCTTATAACGAGAAGGTAATTCCCAATCTTCTATTGCATTCGTTGGCTGCTGAAATTTGCAAATAGGCGCTTTGTGAAAAAGTTTTAAAACAATTCGATCGTTTTATGGCATTTACAGATTCTACTATTGTTGAATTTGGACCCGCATGCTGCGTATGTGAATGCGGAGAACTGCTGGAAGGCAAAAGTTGACTGCCCCCCTTGCGAAACTTAATTAATGGAACTCGCTTGTCTGCGACTTGAGCGATTATACTCCGAAACACCATAATTGCTAAATTAAATAATCACTAAATTAATTATTATTACGTTTTTAACGAAAGTTCTCTTATAGAACCCTTAATTTTTTTCTTTGGCAGAGTATTGAAATTTTAATCAAAAACAAGCCAGCTGATTTCATCGAAAATAACGACCAAGAACGAAGTGACAATCGAACGGAACGCAACGGTGGGCAGATGAAAACACAAATTATAAATTACAATATGTTATTTTGATTATTTGTAGAAGAACTCGCTAATATAAAAATAACAAAAATTAACGTACGTTGAAATATGATAGCTACAAGCAAAAAAAAGCGAAATTTATTTTTTGTTTTCCTTATTGAATTGCAAATAAAAATTTTGAAAATATTAAAAAAAGGACAACCATAATCTAATCGTTGATTAGAAACAACACTTTATTTTTAAAGTTTGCAGTTAAGGAAATAAAACTAACATTACACACAAAGTACACAAACAAAATTTTTGCAAAAAAACTAGAAGGAGAAACAAAGGTCATCATTTCGGTATAGTTTATAGACCTCTTCTACTTTGTTAGTTCAAATATAAACTATTTGATTTTTAGAACAGACATATTGTATTGTACGGTACCAGAAATTACATCACAACTACTACTGCTACAAACTATTTAAATTTTATACATTTACCAAAGGGAAAGATGAACGTTTTCATAATTAAGAAACATTGAAAATCTTTCATTAGCTGACAGGCCACAGGTTGACAATGCAAAGGCTGTTGGGATGAAGCGTTGCCCTTCTTCCTTTTACAAATGCACAATTCATAAGTCTAGTTGCAATGTGATTATAAAAACGGCCTCTTTAAATTCGGAAAATTTTGATTCTATCAATTACCATAGGATTCTCCCCGGAGCTCACGCCTAGTTTTAAAATTCCAAGTCCTTATTATACCCTTCAGCGAAGTATGAGTCGTATATTCAGATACCCCACAAAGTATATATATTCTTGATCAGCACTAAATTCTCACACGATTTGAGCACGTCCGTCTGTCCATCTGTCTGCTTGCGCAACTGTGTGGGATGTGTGGTAAACATTCCCCGATTAGCTAAAATGAATATATCGTCTATAGATATTTCAGAGTTTTTATTTACTTTTATTAAAAAATATATGTATTTTGCTCATTTTCAGACTAGAGTGGATTGATTTTGGTCGATTTCACACTCACACTGGTTGATTTTGCTCACTTTCAGATACCTTTGAGCTCAATTTTTATGCTGCAGGTGTTTTTTCATGGTAAAAGATTTGCATTTATAGAAAACAACTCCGTGATGAACATATGGTGGAAGGAAAAATGAGACAATTTGAATTAATTAGAGAATAATAATAAGAAGAAGAATAATAACAGAAAAAAATTGAAAAATGTTTAAGTAAAATAAATAAATAAATTGATATTAAATGAAAACAAGAATGTATTTATATAACCCTTTTGCCTCTTTTCCTGAACAAAGATGTGCAACTTTACAAAACAGGAACGAAGAAGAAAATTATGTTGATGCGGGGATACTAATGAGCTCGTATAGGATATAATTAAATGTAGTTAATTGATTTCTGTCAACTGGTTCGTCATTAAGAGGGAGCGTTATACTTATAATGTGTTTACATTTAAAAATCAAGTTAGCTTTTAATAACAATATTTTTCGTCAAATGAAAATCGAACACTTTTCCTCTGTTTTCATTTTTGTCTTTGCTTCAATAAAGACGCTGAATTTGAAACGTAGAAAAATTTTATTGAATTCTTCTTGCAGTGTTTGCTAGTGCGTGCAAAGAAAATTTGAAAATGTGAATTATTCTTCTTTCGAATTGGTTGAAGAAAATTTATTTTGACGTCCGTCATTCTTTGTTGATTTCTTCTTTCGTCTTCTCTCCTACGTCTTTTGAGTTTTGTTAATTTATTATTATCATTATTATTATTATAATTTTAGACTAATGAAATTAATTCTTAGACTAAAACAAAGACATTGAGCACTAGCAGCACAGGCTATCGGCTCTAATATAAATAAGTGTACATTAGATAATGAGCTTAGTGCTATTAATAAAGTAATATATTGAATTTATATTCGGTTCTGAAGCTGATTTTAGTATGTCCAAAGGGTTAGTCGCTACAAAAGCAATACTTCTAGCCAAGGAAAACTTAAGACAGTCGCAGAGAATGTGCTTTATAGTTAGAGTTTGTCGACAACTGCTGATTGGGGAGGAAGACTTCTTCAAGATCCATTGGTGAGTTGCAATTGTATGACCAAGGCGAATTCTCGAAAATGTTTGGATCTTGGTTTTCTCAATGTTTGTTGGATATAAAGGTGGAATTAATTGAGGGTTAATGGAAGAGTAATGTTGATGATGGTATTGTAAATTTCCTTCTGCAATTTTCACTTTAACTTTTCTCCCAATGTATCTTTGAAGATCCAACTTTTCCATGACATCATCCATAATTGGAGGAGCAGAAGCAGCAAACTTTGCCGCTCGATCAGCCTGCTCATTTCCCAATAAACCGACATGACTTGGTACCCATAACATTTTAATTTTTCCATCGGGTGTAGTAATTATATTTCTGAATTTGTTGATTGTGCTCCATCTCGAAGTCGAAGTGTTCCGAATAGCTTGTAATACAGACAAACTGTCGGTAACAATGACGGTTTTGAGTTTGTTTTTATGGGCAAGGTTCTCAGCGTGAAGGATAGCTCTGGCTTCGGTTGTGAACGTTGAAGTACTTTCGTGAAATATGTGATTGAGAAGAACCTGTCCTGTAGCATCTACCACGGCGCAAGCAGGTGGCAGACCGGAAGATTTTGAGCCGCCTGTGTATAAAAGATTCCAACCAGTGCTTTCCATTATTTGGGTTTTTTCAGCTATTAGATTCCTGAAGACGTAATTTGGTGTATTTTCTTTCTTGTGCATAGACAGCGAATTGTCAAAAGAGCAGTCTTTCAAAATCCATGGAGGTTTAACGCCAAAAGAGCGGAAAATTTTTAAGGGAATGTTCAATTCCTTTGCGACGTACAAACAATAGTCAATTGCAGATGGTGACTTTGGAATTTTCTTCGCAATAATAGTCTTTTTCACGTCATCACCGAAAATGGATTTGTTTGAATTAAGAAGCTTGGAGACTATTTTAGCTTTTAACTCATACAGTCTATTTCCTAAAGTTAGGAGACCAGTTTCAATTATAATATTATTTATGGGCGTCGTCCGAACAGCATAACAACTTGCTCTGACGGCTTGGTGTTAGACCGGTTTAAGGATGTTGATATTAGATTTGCAGCTATTGCCATAAATTATCAAAGCATAGTCAATCTTGCTTAACACAAGCGTTTTGGTAAGATAAGCAATAGTGTTAATATGCGCTTGGCTTCTCCAAGCAACGTACTGTATGAAATTCACCCTTGTTAAAGTAGAGTTTTTTAACCGCAGACACTGTGCTTTCCAACGATAATTGTTGGAAAAAGTGAGCCCGAGAATATGCAGTGTCGGCACATTTAGTACTGGTAAGCCATTAATATGCATCAGTAGATTTCCTGCATTGCAAATCTGTTTTCGACAAATGTGCATTTTTTTAAATTTTTGTAGGGAAATTTTAGCCCCCGACGAGTTTGCCCATGCGGAAATCTCTCGTCCAATAGATTCGAGAATGTTGATTGCTTTCGTTTTGTCTTTTTCTTTTATAAAAATGTATATATCGTCCGCGTAGAGACAATGTTTCACTCTTGGTACACGGCAAAGAATTTTGCTAATTTCGTTGAAAGCGATCTGGAAAAGCATGACAGAGAGAGGAGATCCTTGCGGAATGCTATTCATTAGCGGAAAGGAATCAGAGAGATGATTGTTGATTCTAACTTTAAACCGCCGATGCGACATGAATGATTTGATGTAAGTGAAAAATTTGGGTCCATGATTCCAAGAGTGTTAAAATAACATGAAGACCAACTCTGTCAAATGCTTTTTCGAAAACAATTGAGAGAGTTGTTATTTGATTCCGTTCGAAAATTGGTTTGCTTGTAAAATAATCAATATGTGAAAGAGCGTCGATGCACCCTCTACTCCCTTTGAAACCAATATGTTGCTTTATAATCAGGTTCTTCGACTCAAGACACGAAGATAATATAGATCCCATAATCTTTTCTAATACTTTTGAGAGGCAAGATAAAAGAGAGAGTGGGCGATAATCCGATGCGATGGACACATTTTTTGACCTTGCAATTGGAACAACTGCTGCCAGTTTCCACATGCAGAGTATATGGCCAGTCAAAGATGCCTTATTATATAGGTCCAGTAATTCCGTTTTACTTGAATTAGACAGAGCACTGATCATTTGGTATGAGATTTGGTCTAGACCAGGTATCTTCCCCTTCGATTTGGAGAGACAACTTTCAAATTCTATGGTAGATATGCAATTTTGCAGGGACACGGCACATCTGTCAATAGCATTTGAAAGAGAAATTGTAGTCCTTTTATTTTTGACAAAAGGTTTGAAAAAGTTGCTGTCAGAGGAGTATTCGCGCTACATTTGTCCAAAGTAATTAGAAATCTCATCTGTCAGTTAAAGTTCCATTGGGATTGAAAATAGAAGAAATTTCGTTCAGATATGAAGTCTAATTCAGTCTGTTGTTGAGTTTGTTCCAGACAACTTTTATTGAAGTATTTCTGTGAATTCTTTTCGAAAAAAGTTCGAAACTAAGTGCCTTTGATTTTCGTAATGCCTTCATGAATAGAGCATGCGCCTTTTGTATAATAGCAAATGATCATGGTCAGGAAACCTTTTAAAGCGGTGCCATAGATCCATTTTGTTTTTCCTCAATAACGAAAACGTGTTGTTCCACCAAGGAAGCCTAGCTCGTTTAAAAGAGCTGTTGGATTGAGGAGTAGAGAATAAGCAGATGTGCGAATCGCTTTACGCATAATAGCAGCATCATGGTTGCAGTTCCCGTTAAATGGCTTTGAATTCAGAAATGACTTGGTGTGATTGGAATAACTGATCCAATCCGCTTTATCTAGGAGGAATTTGGCCTATTTTGCTGGAGTAAAAGAGGACATTGAAAGTTTGAGATCAATTATGATTGGAAAGTAATCAGTATTATCTAGATCATCAGAAATAGACCAGGAAACCAAAAGAAGAAGTGAGGGAGAGCAACATGTTAAATCAATATGTGAAAAGGTGTGATGAGTTGAAAAGTGCTTTGGTTTTCCAGCATTTAAAATGCAGAAATTGCTTTGAAT